ATAGTATTATTTGTTCCCTAAAGTTGCTTTACCTTCTTTTCTTCTTCTAAAATGGACTGGATTTTTTCCTCTTTCTTGGTTTGCATCTCCTTATCACGATGGTCAAATGAAAATGGATGTTGTTTTGTAGCCTGGTGTTGTAAATCTGGTTTGAATACTTTCTTATCAAATTCAGGAAGAGGTTGAGCTTTAAATGGTGCTGGTTTTTCCTAAAAATTAATCAGATTTAATATTAGATTAATAATTAATCTAGAATACAGTATATTACATAGTGGAATCTAGTGTTTTAAACCCCTTTGCCCCATAAAGGAAAGTAACTTGAAAATGCAGTCCATTCTTTTTTGTAGAATAAACTGTGATATTCTTAAGACACAGACATGTAGAGAGTCCATTTCAAATTATTTTGAGTGTATTTTTGTGGAATTAAACATACCTCCATTTCTGAATGGTCCTTTGCTTTATGAACAATACTTCTTTCTTCTGATGCCAAGTTGAATGGTTTGGGCTCTGTGAGGCTCTTTGCTGGCTGTGGTTTTATGCCGTATGTTCCTTGTTTTTCTACTATTTTTGGATCAAATTCTCTAGCCTTGAACTTGTAGCTAAGTGAGACAGATTGTGTTTGTACTTTTAGCATAGAATTCAAGCATTTTGTAATTGTAAGTACTACATATTCAACTTCTTTGAATTCAATTTTTGAGTTATTTTCAGAAACATCAACTCAAGGATGATTGAGCCATAGCATCACAAGTTTGAGTTGATATCTACTGTGACTTGAAAATAAATTGTGGGTTTCTATTTAAGTTACATTCAAAGATAAACTAAATGCAGAATATAAATTATATACTCACTTCCTCATTTCTTCAAGATCTTTCTCTTCTTGTTGCTCTCTACTCAGACAGTCATCTGGTAACACTCTCTTTCTTTCTTTGGTTGTTAAACATGGCGTCTTTGGTAAGGTCAGTTTTGAGTGGTATTTTTCATTCTCAGTACATTTTGATRGACCAATGTTTTGTTCCTTTGCGTTCTTCATTCTGAACCTTGGAGGTGTGGAATTTTGAAACTTGTAACACTGCTGAGCCATGGAGACATATCCGTCACATGAATTGACTTCATCCATTGCTTTGCGCTTTCTGCTTTGTCCAGAGTCGAAGCTGAAAGGTCGTTGTTTGGTTGGTTTTCTGTTTTTGAAAGACTATAAATAAAATAAATGTTAAAATCTTTATCTTTGTGGCATACATTCAACAACTATCATTTATAAAGGGAAAGAAAAAGATTTATGTAATTGTTATGTATAAAGTAGGTGTATCAAGAAGTGAGTGTTTCATACTTCTCTTGTGTTTTAATAAGCATGCAATATCATTTATACTCACTGGAGAAATTGGATGTTGTCGTAGAGTATCAAAGAAGTTCTTCTGCTTCCCTTCGCCAGTAGCGTGCTGTGGTTTCTTGATTCTTTTGTCCAGTTCGAAGTGAAATTCATGGGCTTCTGTCAAGTTTTCATCAACAGATCTGTGTGGCATGTAGTTACCAGCAGAGAGAGCCTTTTTCATAAACTCTTCATTTTGCTTTCTCTTCTCTTTGAGTTCCTTTTGCATCTGTGCAATTTGCTCCAGCTCCATTTGTTCTTTAGGTTTGATGGCAGTTGATGTTGTTGAAGATACATTTTTGACCCGTCTGTGAAACATTTTGCCAAAAATATATGAGGTAAACCTCTTTATAATGATCATTAATATAAAAGTAGAGAGAGCAAGGGAAAATTCAGCAAGGAAATATAAGATTATCAAAGATCACAAACTGGCTGAATTTTGTAAATAACAATTAATTTTGATGCTACATGTATTTGTTTTTTTTTAATAAAATKCTTTTGTCATGTTYGTYTTTTACCTCATCATAGTAGGAGTCGATGGGATGGTTAACATTGGAGCTTTCATTTTAGGCATTTGTTTAGCTCTCGCTGGTCTTTTGGCCTCAGATCGTGATGAAGAGCGAAGTGATCGCCGGGGAGCACAGGTCGTTTTGATGCTTGTGTTTACTTGAGTTCTAACATAAAAAAAGTGAACAACGTGCTTTTTAAGTCAGATAAATTACTGTACAGCTCATTTAGGGTTTACCTTGCCGAATCAGCTCGCTTTTTCTTCATCGGTGGTTCATCTTGTTCCTCCTTCGCTGAAGCTGATGTAGAGAGAACTTGTCTCAAAGCCTGCAACCGTGGCTTCCAAGATGGCGCCACTGTGAGGTTTGGAGCGCTTCTATCCTCAAAGAAAAACATCGGCTCAGACTTTTGCTCTTCTTTAGTCTTCTCGCTGCTAACCTCAATAGTTTCTCTTTCATCATCTTGTTTAGTCTCTTCTAAGTCTTTAACTTGTGTTGAAGCCTGTTCGTTGTGTTCATTCTTCACATCGTCATTGCTGTCYTCCTCCAAACTATCCGGCGCGATCCCGCCATCATCACCGTCTCTTTCGTCTAAAGAAAAGCCAAAAGATAACTTTATCTATTTCTTCCTTGTCTGAAGAACTAAAAAACTTTTTTWGGACTTACCAAACCATTTGTCGATGTCTGAATCGTCKTGGTCAAAAGGTCCTCTGTTGGTAAAATCAACGAACATTGGTGCGTCGAAGTCATAACTTTCATTCTCCCCGTCCATTGTCAAATTTAAACAGTTTGAAGCTCTCTTTTAGATCGTATTTTTTTTCTTCTTTTGATAATTAATAAAAAACAGCGAAGCTCTGAATTTCTAGATGACTTGCATTACTTGTCTTTATTCTGAAATATGTAGAAAGTTTCTTCAAGGACGAAGAGTTCTGTTCTCACGGATGGAACGTTAGATCAACGGTTTTCAAAATGCCCACGCTTGTTTTGGACCAATCAAATTCGAGAATTCAAAAGAACTGGATTGGGCAAAAATGATGTTTTTCCTAATAAGGTAATACTTTCCATATTTGTGTTATGAAATTATTCAAGATGGCGGACTAAAAGTCATGTTGTTGTTTTGACGGAGATATTTCGAAGATTTTGAACGGTAAGGTGCGATAAATATGTCATTTCTTGCTTCTATTTAATTTTTGAAGCTTGTACCTGTAAAGTTTAATGATGATAAATCCAGAATCTTTTATGATGTGCCGAAATGATGTGAACGTTGGACTATAATTACTGGGCTGAATTTGAAGACAAGCATCCGAAAATCTTCAAATTATCTTATTAAAAGAGTAGTTTTAAAGTAATAATTTTGAGTTCTTTAGCATAGTTTATATAAGCAGGATTGTTTTAGATGAGGAAACCTGGGGAAAAGGTTTTCAACACAGGTAGCCCAAACAGGACACATGTGTTGCATATTTCATTAATCAGTCTTTCATTTATTAGATCACTAATCTTTAGTTATGTCTATGTTTCATTCATCTACCATCCATCCATCCATGCATCTATCTCTTCTTGCTGTCTCTTCTTCCATTCTTTCAGTTTCGGGTAGCCCAAGCTCAGCAGCACTCATGGCCTCTCATTGACTTCTCTCAGAAGGTCTTATAGAGAAAAACGAAAAATTCATTAAAAATTGGAAGTCTCAATAAAATGCATTCAAACACATGCATACAAAGTTTCAGGTCTCTATAGTGAAATAAACTGTCTTTTTTTCTTATTTAGATGCTTGTACTGTAGATAATATTCACTAGAGTGCTGAGCTTGGGCTACCTGTGTTTCAGTCAGCTATCACATTATTCATNTTTTCTGTTGAACACAACTAGGCAGAAAACTAGAATATTGCCAGCAAAAGCTATCAGACTTAGAACTATCGGTGTGACAATTAAATAGAGTCCTTTGGATGGAATTCTGCACGTAGTGTTAGAAGAGTTTGCTGTCGTGTTTGAAAGCTCCATCGAAACCTCCATCGAAATTGTTTGAAGAGGTTTATAATTTGTATATTCGCGGTAAACTTTGTAGTCGATTCTAAAAAGGTTGTTGATTTAGATATGCACTTTGTGAATATGCAAATGTAAGTATGTATTTAAGAAATATAAAACGGCGCGCGTGTCTCTGTCCTCTGATATAAACACGGTGGGAGTTCTAAAAACACGAGAGAAGCAAGCTTAGGAACACGAGCGTAGCGAGTGTTTYTCTTGCTTCTCAAGTGTTTTTCAACTCCCACCGTGTTTATATCAGTGGACAGAGACACAAGCGGCCGTTTTATATTTCTTTTATAAAATTTTTCGAGCGAAAAGAAAATTTTGCCGGTAAGTCGTGTCTCTGTCCTCTGATATAAACACGGTCGTCAGCCAATCAGAGCGCGCGTTATATATCAAAAATTTTATAAATGTATTTATAAAACTCATGAATTATTCATTAGACATTCTTCCAATGAGCATTCATCTATGGGTCACATGACAGGATCTATAACTCAAGTTATAAACACTGATTAATTAAACATGAGTTTTATAACTAACCGGTTCAGTTAGTTATAACACTCATGCATAAAACATCAGTGTTGTAACTGATTTACAGACACTCGATGTATGCCCAACACTAGAAAAGTTCTCAGTTTTAGACTCTCATCATAGAACTTCACTAGGTCTCGAGTTAAAATTACTTATTTGCAGAGTCACAGTACACTAAAACATAGTGGCGCTTGGATGTGGGAAGCCAAGTTGATTACTGCTCATGCTCAGATGGAGATATCTTCATCAATTATTCATTTTTGATATTTTTTTATTTATTTCATGTTTATTGTAGTTTCTTAGGTTTGGGTTTTAGAAGTTATTTAAAAAACTCGTAGTTCGTGTTTTATCGCGGATATAAACACTCGGCCTTCGGCCTCGTGTTTATATCTCACGATAAAACACTCCTACTCGTTTTTTAAATATCACATATATACGTATATATTTTGCTGAAGAAGGCCGAAGTGCCGAAACGTCCAATAAAGCAGAATTATTATAGCTTCAAGTTGGTGTTTTGTTTAATTTCATTCAACGTATAGGCAACTATTTCAAAAAACGTTGTCGGGGAGAACGGCGAACGGCGATTGTCGAAGGGAGATTGCACGACCGAAAGGGACTATGGTTACACTGTTTTGATAAACAAAAGTTCACTTATTGGATTCACCTTGCAGAGAAATGGAGACTAAATGGAGCCAATGTTTATCATAGACCATCTTACAGTACAAATCAGTTGTTATTGCCTTTCAACTAGCAAAACCCATGGCTACTTTCGGTCGTGCAATCGCCGTTCGACAATTGACATTCGCTATTTTATCAGACAACCTTTTTTGAAACAGCTATATATAAATAGAATAAATGAAGAAAAAGCCACGCAACTTGTAACTTGGTTTTCTACAGACTAAGAAACCATGTGATATAACTTTACCGGATGTAAATTAGCGTTTGTTACTTTAATCAAACTTTAAAAAAATGATCGTTTATAAAATTCAGGATTCGATTAATGATTTTAAAAGTTCAAACATTCGATTTGAATAATTGAATGCTTATGTGATATTTAAAAAACGCGTAGGAGTTTTTATATTTTATATCCATGATAAAACACGTACTAAGAGTTTTTTAAATAACTTGTCTTATACTGAGAACTTTTCTAGTGTTGGGCACACATCGAGTGTCTGTAAATCATGCAGTTACAACACTGATGTCTGAGATCGTTGTCAAATAATTCCAGTTGAATTCCTATTCTGAAAAAATATTAATTTCAAACGTTGGATACTCACAAAAATTAAGGATTTAACTGGCGAGTTTTGAAGGACTTAGAAAATCTAAGGAGCGAGTAAATTCATTTTTAGCTATATATCCATGCATTTCTTTGTAATTTTCGGGGTCTTCGGCGCGATGTGCGTGAAAAATATTAGAAAAATATTCGCTCTTGATTGTCGATAGAAGATTAACTTAAAAGTATTCGTTCTTGATTGACAATAAAAGATTCACTTAAAAGTATTCGTTCTTGATTGACAATAGAAGATTCACTTAAAAATATTCGTTCTTGATTGTCGATAGAGGAAAGATTCACTTGAAAGTATTCGTTCTTGATTGTCGATAGACGGAAGGTTCACTTAAAAGTATTCGCTCTTGATTGCCAATAGAAGGTTCACTCAAAAGTATTCGATCTTGATTCTCGATTCACTCGTAAGTTTCCGCTCAAAACTTTAAAGTCTCTCAAATATACTCCATAATAGAAAAGGGTGGGGGTCCTTGTCGTCCCTTTTAGGGTTTGAAATCAGTGGTTTGGTCCCGCTTAGGGTGATAATGACAAGATTTCCCACCAGTTTTGTGGTCCCTTTTAGGGTATACGACGACCCTAAGCCGTCATCATATATTTGTATATGACAACGTCGTCATACACTCAATACGAGCAACAGCTTTGATGCTTGTGCAAAAACACAAATAAAATCGGGAAACCCAAACAAAATAACCGTTTATTGATTTATCCCTCTTAGGGTGAAATTTCAGCACTGCCACACCCATCATCTCACAATACAGATCCCTTTTAGGGGTCATTTTCAGAATTTCCTACGAAGACCCCTGCCCTTTTTAATAAGAGAGTCCCCGCCCCCGGGATATCAACTTGGTATAAAGTTGTCGCTCAGAATCTAACCTCTCGTAAAGTTTGGTTTTCGTTTTAATGCTCTAAATAGCAAAAATATTCAGTAGTCTCATCTTCTTGAACGACTGCCATTTTACCATAGAGTGTGGGAGCAAAGTTGTCCCAGTCGTTGTAAAGTAGTGACGAAATCACCGAATGCTCGTTAAAAACCTAACGTGGAAAAAAATTGCGCTTGCATTTTATAACTGTGACAGCCGTAGAGGGCTGGGCACGGTAATAAAACAAGTGGCAAATCAAAAGATCTTTTCCATTTGAGCGTTTTCTTACAATATTATAGACTAAAATAGCTTCCTTCGCAGGCATCACTAAGAATCACGAGCTTCTTGTCTTTTTGGGAGTCAAAAGAGGGAGAATGGGGGCGAGAGAGGGTCGTCACTAGTCCTAGCGGCCAACATGACCGTTACAAAGGAAGCCCAAAAGAGGAAAAAAGAGTTGCCTTGGGAGGAGTCTAAGGCTAAAAAATGTTATGACAAAAACCTCTATAACGAGGAAACACCTAATTGCAAAAAACATTGTCATATAGAAATAGAAACTAGACTTAAAAAAAGACCAGAGAAATTAGTCACTCAAACTGATGAAGAGGTCGCTTTATATTTCCTCTCAGTTTTCATATAATTGTCATTTTTCAACAGTTTATGCATTCATATGACAACGTTCTAGATGTAAATGCAAACTACCTCCGAAATGTTATTGACAAAAACGTTGATTACTAGAGTGAAGTTCTTAAGATCGTTATTAAGTCACGTAGAGTAGAAAGCTACCACAGAGCACTAAAAAGAGTTAGATGTACGTTGAAGAGGACACTTAGATTCGAATAGGAGAGACGTGAGTGGTTTTCAAGTGTTGCTAATTGTTAGGGATTTGATACTGGGTCATTAATCAAAGATAATTAGACGTTCGGGCTTCTTGTCAAGAATCTTCACACGCTAAGTAGAGTATGTTTTTTTTTTGTATTCTAACAAAGGTACTCTTCTTACAAACCACCTGTAATGTCAAGCTATAATGTTGACAACCTCTTCGTTTTCCCTCAGTCAATTCCCTTTGTTTTCTTTACGCCTAGTGTGGATATAATCTTCGCTCCCAAAATGCACGGTTTCCATTATTGTTAATTAAATTGTAAAACATAGAGGATATTACATGGGCGCGCGGAGATACGGTTTTTATCTTCGAGTGTTGAAAAGATCTCTCACGAGTGGGCGTAGCTAATTGCAACACGAGAATAAAATTCG